GTTGAGCTACCTTATAAATTTTAATAACGCCAAATTCGTGAAATTTAAATGTCTAAACATTTGTCTCCAAACTTTGTTATAAGTTTTGTAAGTTTTGTAATTAAGAAATTGTAAATATTGTTGGGCTTTTTCGTCCTTAGAAGCTCTTTCTTCATATATTTAATTTACACCATCTTCCTTGAATTAGTTGTTAAATAGTGGGGAAGGATTAGCTAAATGTTAGGTTCCACCCTCAATTTTAATAAATTTTACCTGCTCTCTTTAGGTTGGGACACACTTTTTGGCGCAAGGACTCAGATTTTAGTAGTTGAGGAAGATTTTAATGCTTCTGATTTCTTAATTATGAATAACTGACTGAATTAACAGTATCTGGCAGTGATGGCGGAAAAGTAAGGTTATTTAGGTCATTTAGCTCTTCGTGCTTATAAATTTGGCCAATGCGTTATTTTTTGATAGTCACTGAGCCTCCGGAGAAAACCGAGTTTCCTAGCTTGTTAAGATTCCGACTAAGGTTGGAGGACAGCTATAAATGGAAGTAATCCTTAGGGACGTATATATTTTTAGAATGGCAATGTCGAAACCTCGGTTCTGCTCTAGGGTTAATGTGCCTTGGATTATTTGGCCCTGATAGCTTCCTACTGAGATCTCCAGCAACAAAATTGTGTTGAAAAAACTAACTGTATTTTTTAACCCCCTTTGAGTAATTTTTATTCGGGGGCTCGTAGGTTGATAGCGCTGCTTAATCGCCGTTAGTTGGTAGTTGGATGAGAACCGCAAAAGCTTCTAAAATTTGAAAATTAATAATATTTAGTTCCGTGTGCTTCATGTCTTCTTTGATTATAATTCTCAACCCCACTTTTTAAGCATTCATGCGGTCGTACCTATAATAGTGTACTTGAGTACCAAAATTTTGTTACCCTCTAACAGTGAGTTTCGAAATGAGAGTAATATCTATTAGAATACGAGTCGTAAGTTCATGTAATTCATAGTTTTTGGTTCACAAGCCGCCCATCTTTCAAGATTATATCCTAATGTTTTTTGAAAGATATTCGTAATTTTTATTGGCTTGTTGAGTTTTTTAAATTACTCACCAATATATTTCGAAATTTAATTACTGATGGCCTCAGTGGTTGAAAGTTATCTTGAAAAGGTATGTCATTCCTGGTTCTATAGGACAGTCTCTTATATACTTCTTATTTTAAGTTTTATCAATTCTTTTAAGGAGCCATCTTAGGGTGGAAAATGCATCATTTATAATTAAAGGTGTGACCGCTCAAAAAATTTGTACAACTTGGCTTTTCACGTATTTAGCACATTAACAACTGAAGGATCAAATTTTTCGCTATACTTAAATAATTGACATTTAAGCATCGACCATTCACTATCCTTTAAAGTTCTTAGAGACCTTTATGAAGCCTAATTTTTGTTTATATATAGCTTTGGCAAATTAAGATGATTTTAGAAGGGCTTACCATTTATTATTAACTCTTGCTTAATATAATAATTGCATGACTTAATAAAGCCTCCAGGTTAGCTCACCTTCAATCTTTAGAAGGTAACTACAAGAATATATATTCATTTATATATAAAATTTCGTATAGAATCTTTATTCATGTCAAAACAAATCTGGTTAGCTTTAACTGGAAGATAATCTGTTCTAAACTAATTTATTATAAGTAATCGGTAGACTCGAAATTATTATAGTTATTTTTACTGTTATACTTGCTTATTATTGTTTTACAATTATTATTCATTACTATTAGCACTATTGCTATTATATGAAGTCAAAAATTATTACTATTTTATCCTTCTTATTGTTTATGAAGTTTCTTTTAAAATATGTGAATCAGCGTTAAGATATGGACTTCTTTAGTTATATGTCGGTCTCGGAAAAGTTATTTGTAAGATTATTTTCCACACACTATCCCACATTACATCGCTTAACTATTGCCATCGTAATAAATCACTTTTAGTTGGGCATGTTTAAATCATCAAGAAATGAAATAAAACAAGTCTTTTATTGGCTCGTGTTAAGGAAATAAATTTCTAATAATATCGAGAGTTGCGTCATCTGCCATGGATTAAACCTTTTCCCACGGCCCATAAATTCTTAAACGACCCCTTTTAAACAATTGTTATGAGGGTATATTAATGGTCCTGTAATGAATTCTCCTTCTATATACGTAACTTTGAATTCATCTTGTTAAAAAAAGTCGTCATGCAAGGTGAGCCACTTTATTCCAGTTTTCTGAGTCTTTACACCCGAAGGCATTACCGATTGCTTTTTAAAAAATGTTCTCAAGTTTCATGAATCCCCCCGAGAGTGCCCTCAGTTTCTTTTTAAATAGGGTCTATTTTATAACTCGTGCTCTAAAGCACAGCTGTTAAGGTTAAATTTTTTTTCAGCAATCTAATTTGGTCTAACAGCACGCTTAAAACTTATTCATTTTGTGCAACTCATAGAGTTGAAGTGGATGACTTAGTCATGTTAACTGCAAATATTTTAAGCCTGTTTAGTCTTCCATATAATTGGATTACTGATTTTTTAAAGCCACGGCAATCTTGGCTATAAGTTGACCCTAACAAAAATAATGAAACTGCATAGTGTTTTACACAAAATTTAGTAAAGTACAACAAACCCTTTGGCGAAGCATCAAAAGTGTAAATCGTCTCAGTTGCCTCACTCATATACTAGATTTCGTTTATTTATTAATTTTCGCCTATTTTAGTCGAATGGCATTTCCTCCAAGGTACAAAACATGCAAAGAGAATTTGGTTAACTTAAAAGGCCTTATTTTTATGAGCGATCTATTTAACATTTGCGTTTTCTCCTAAAGTCGCGTTCCCAATGATGAGCCTTTCCATGATGCGGGACTCTTATGCTTTATTAAAATTACTTTAGTCACCAAGGCTTGGATGCCAAGCGTTTCGAAGTATAATAACCTTTTTGATGATGGCGTTCACGCCGTCATCTCACCAATTAATCTTAATTTGTTTAAGTGTTATGGCTAATTTAGTTATTTGAAATAAATTTGTTACGCTTTACATATGTTATCTCGACCACTTGATATTTTATTTACACTTGGGGCTCAAGCCTCAGAAAAAAAGCTTGCTCTTGGTTAGAAAGCTTTTCGACTCTTGAGCTCGGTTTTGGTTTTGACCTTTTTGTTCTTGGTTTTCTTTGAACTTATTTATACTGCTTCTCTGTTATTTATTTTTTCTATATAATAAAACTAACCTGTTATTTATGCTATGCCTTGGTTCTTTGTTAGCGACCTTCTCACTCAATACCACTTCTACTTAATTTATTCTTTTGTCACTAGCATATATTAAAACTTAAGGAGTGATTTAAGTTTAATTTTTTCCATGATCTGGTGTTATTAAACGTCTTAATTGTTCTATGCTGTTATTTTGTTCTTCCTTCTTATTAATAGAGAAAGATATATATATACATATGTTTATTAATAATAACATCTCCTGGCTCTGAAAAACCTTATCAACTTCTTTGATGTAACCTTTTTCAATTCAAAAATCAGAAAAAGTTTTTCGTCTTACGGAGATGACCACTTGGTCGTTTGTTTAGGAGCTTAGTCATTTTCTTTTAAGTTTAAAATCAGTTGTCATCTTCCTAAAGTTAGTAGTTTAGATTATTTTTATATTTTTGTGACCCTGAAAGCTTGCAGTTTTTTCCAATCTCTTTAGATGCCAGTCATTACAAGACTCCAGTTTCCTTTAAACCCTATCTCTTTCAGTGGCGTCTTCTAGTAATTATATGTAAATCAACAACTTTAATCTCTAAAAGAACTTAAATTATTATTTAATAAAAAAGCAAATATTAGTAAATTTATTGTTAAAATTCGATATTTTAAAATTTACCCCAAGCCTTAATTTGCATTAATTTAAAACAAGGTCTCCATTTATCCTCACATTAAAAAAAAATTATAGGACGAGAGGGCGGTCGTATATTAACAGGACTTCTAACTAGTGAAACGAGTTTATAAATAAAGGTTGATTTTTACAAAATATATTTAATGATTTAAGCGTTTAATTCGGCATATATAGAACCTACGAAAATTTGTTGTTCCCAACCCTTCTCTCAACAAATTTTTTAAGTGGAGTCGTAAATATTGTATCTATTTCTTTGTTAATCCCTTAATTTGCTTGCTGATAGTGTACTAGCCCCCCCCCCAGGAAAAGAAATGATACATTTAAGCTTATTTGGGGTTCCACACAAATAAGCTTAACGGTCCAACTAAGTAGGCCTACTAATGCCATTTTCACCTCGTGACGTATATACCAAACTCTACTTATTATAAAGAAAAAGATAGAGTGGGGCTAACAGCGTGAATAAAAATTACAACTTAAACAGGATATAATGTTTTTTTAATTGGTATAGACCAGAAATAAAATAGTTGTATTTAATACTAGATCTGACTTAAGTCCTATTAGTCTTTTGTTAATACAGTCAAAGCGTATATATTATTTTAGTTTATATATAATTCTGTATAGTTGAAAGATCGTAAGAATATTTGAGTAAAAAATAATTAATTGAAGAATTATAATAGAAGAATGAATAATAAAATTATTGACAGATGAGGTAAATAAAAGAGATTAGAATAATAAATAAACAAAATCTAAAAAAATTGTAATAATGAAGAAAAAGAGAGATTAAAGAGACAAAAATTCTCTTGGGTTCTTCTGTATTACAAAATTTCGTAGATACAAATATCTAAGATGAAACCCGGTAAAAGATTTGGTTAACCTAAAATTATTAAAGCTAATATAATAGCTATAAAATGCAAATTTTTATATCGATATCTTGGAAATAGCGTTAGTCTTAGTATATAGATTATTTTGTTTAAGGAATTTTTAAGATAAATCTGCATCGGTTTAACTTTGCTCTACATTCAGTATAGCTTGTCATATAATCAAAAAACATTTACAACCAATCAAAATCTTGACATATTCTTCATTAAAACCTGCTTATCTACTGAAGCTTTAATTTGTATTTGCTCCAAAAGTAGCTTCTTTGCTCTTTTTATTTGCTAATAAAAACTCTTAAAAAAATTATATTATACTCTATGGTATATAGGTTACTTAGACATTCTCAATTTACCTATAAAAATTATTTTTTTTAGCTTACAACACAAAGGGCGTGAGGATGAATTCTGACCTTGTAACTTTAGCCCGGCACTCAATTGCTTTGCAAAAAGAAAATCCTGAGGTACATTAAAGTTTATTTTATTTACATTTCACGTAAATTTAGTAATTGTAAAGGCTAGTGGTGATTTCACTTTGTTGATGGCTTCTATTCAGCTTGGCTGCAAATTTGTTGCTTCTAATGTAAGGAAAGCAGGCCTTGCAAACTTGTAACCAGCTACTTTAGGTATCATATCATTTTTATAATAAGAATACCTTTTAGAACAGGCTTGGCTGGATGTAAAAACATTACTGGAGACGATCAAAAAAAATTAGATTTAATCGCTGATGATGTTTTTGTAAATTCTCTTAAGTCTAGCGGAAAAGTTAGTGTTCTGGTGTCTGAAGAGAGGGAAGAAGCAATTATTATAGAAGTATACAATTTATTTCACATTGGAAAAATATGTGTATTGTATATATTAGGGAGAACAGAGTGGGAATTATGCAGTTGTTTTTGATCCCCTCGATGGATCTTCTAATATTGACTGTGGAGTAAGTATAGGCACGATATTCGGAATTTACCGATCAGTAAGATTAATTATTATATTTTAAGAACTCGATACTTGGTTAGGGGATCTCCTCTTACTAATTTTAGAAATATATATACGTCAAAGGATCGCCCAAGTTACAGCAATAAAGATGTTCTTCGACCAGGAAGGGAAATGGTGGCTGCGGGATATGCTTTGTATGGCTCTTCTACGCAACTTGTAGTTAGCTACGGGAAGGGCGTCCACTGCTACACGTTGGATCCTGTAACTTTTTGAATCCACTAGAATATTTGTCTGCTCCGCTAATCGATTACAAGTACAAAGAGTTTTGTAAAAGCTTACAACCTTAAAATCTGCTTGTAGCAGTTTTTATAGTTTTCTATTTAATAGTAGCGATTTTACTTATTAAACTGAACCAAAATCTCTTTTTTAGCAAGACTTTGCTATAGCTGGAAGATCTGCACGTTTATAACAACTTTTAGAATACATATCTATAATGATTGTGTTTAGCTGTTATATTATTTAAAGTTAACGAAATGATTTTTTGAATATTAATATGCATTCAAGTCACTCGGAGAATTTATCTTAACGCAAGAAAATATAGTAATTCCCGAGCGAGCCACCATCTACTCTGTGAATGAGGGTTTCTAGACACGTGTACAGAGAAGTATGAACTCTGTGCTTCCTTTTTATACTAAAGGCAACTCTTCGTTGTGGGACAAACAAACTTGTGCGTTTGTGCTTTCAAGGAAAAGTCCGCTAAAAGTATAGTTTTATGACTTAAAGAGGAAATTTTGCACCCCATACTGCTTTGCACAGGGAAGAAAGCCGTACTCCTTGCGGTACATAGGCAGCATGGTGGCCGACATCCATCGGACTCTGCTCTACGGCGGCGTGTTTCTGTATCCCCGCGACTCCAAAAATCCCGCTGGGAAGCTTCGCCTGCTGTACGAGTGCTTCCCCATGGCCTTCCTCATCGAGGCTGCTGGAGGTTCTTAATGCGTAAAGCGGCTAAATCCTTTTAAAGATTGCTATAATATTTTAATTTTCGAATTGTGCAGTTTTTGTCTGTAGATTATCAATATAATTTCCCAAACTTATCGCTTTATAAAATAATTTATTTCTATAAATCTACGCATTAATGTTTAAAGGACGAGCAACGGACGGCAAAGACAATATTCTAGACATTATACCAACGTCTATACACCAGCGATCCCCTATTTGCATCGGAAGTAGACTTGACGTTTCCGAACTGGCAACGCTCTACATAGAGATGGACCAAATATAATAAATTCTGTCAACACTGTCTATATTAAGTTATCCTTAAAAATTAGTTAGTAACAAGTCCAAGTGGTGGTCATGGCTTGATTTTATAATAAAATAGATAATTTGTGTTTTGATTTCACAAGTGAAAGAAAGCTCCCAGAACACTTTAATTTTTATAAAGTTTACTCTAACGTAAAATAATGTAATAACGATTTACTGTTAAAAGCTAATCACCCTCAGCGTCCATTTATAAATAATTCAATCGTTAAAATAAGGAGACTTCTGTTGCTCGTCACGCCTTTTGTTATGAAGATAGGGTCACTTTTCTCAGTATTGACCTCTCAGTTTAAGCTAATAACACCTATTTTTATCAAATAACACTTTACATTCATTTGAATTCTTCAGTAGATCAATTTTCTCCTTCCATCAAGCAATATCTTTAAGGTTAAAAAAATTTGCTTCAAGGTGGTTAGGAAGTTACCGCCGATGCGATTAACCATCTTTCCTTTTTTGTAACTTCTGCAAGATCGCTTGGCTCCTCAACGCGATGGAAAAAACGGTCACTGTGGTGATGCCACCCAAGACTTCGCGAAATTTAGCGACCCCAGCAGTTATTGCTCCGTTAACCTTCTCTTAGATGGGCAAAACTGTGGAGACTGTTCTACTACGCCGGAATGAGATTGTAGAAACCTATAAAGTACTTCCAGTACTCCAATATGGATCCGAAGAGACCAACTCGATGACACAACTTTTGCGCTTTGTTGTAAGGGCAACTCGGAACTTCGATTTTAAGAAATTCACGGTTGACCACGTACGGCACGAAGGCCCCCTACGCAAACTATGCACATAGGTTCTCCGTTTGCCCTCTACAGCATAATTGCATCATAGTTCTATGCGACGCAACCTTTCGATTGAGAGTTGGGGCTCGCTTCGTCGTACCATCCACTCACAGCGTGAATACTGAAAGGCTCTCTGCTCTCACCCCTGCTCTTCGCGCTTCAGTTACTGCCAATCCCCCTGCCCGCGTTGCATTCTACGCCGATGACACTAAAATTTACGCGTCCTTAAAGAGCCCCTCACTATTAACGACAACGCCTACAGCGCTACTTGGAAACATTTATTAACTAATGCCGGTAGCAGGGAGTAACAAATAATGGAACGAAGAGCAGAGCAATTCTTATATTAAAAAGATGCATTACGCTACCCCCTCCTCTTACCCTCGAAAGCGATAAGATTTCATAACGCCTTCAGGCCCAATATTTTGGCGGTCATAAGCGACTAACTTGGCGACAACACGTAAAGTTCTTTACGGTTAAGATCAAAGCAGTATTTCACGCACAGCTGTATTATTTCTTGGTAATATAATATTCTAAATTACCCTCATTTGTTTATAATTAAATGTCCTTGAAATTTTCAAGTCCGTAAGATCAACACAAAAAATATGAATAAAAGTAAAAATTTTAAACAACATACAACCGTTAAGTTTGAGGTTAAGGGTTGCATGTTTATTAGGTTATATGTTTAATAGAATGTTTGGAAATATTGAGTAGTAGCCTATACCTTGCGTGTCGCTTATGCGAGTTGTGCGCTAACAGCTATATATCCTACGTACACCGTTTTGCTTTCGAAAAAGGGTTACTGTAAAATTCACTTCAGTTTAATAGTTTAGATATGTTGAAGCAGGCAAATACACAAAATAGAAGTTATAATAGTAAAGAGTGATATGGAATTTTAAAAAAAGTCTAGTAAGATTTGGTGATTGGCGCGTGTCCTTAATATATTTTCTAAAAACTTCTCTTTAAAATAATAACACTACGTAACGGCTTATATATATAAATAAGATTTTATGTTTAGCATAAATTTAAATAAGATGTATATAATATCTCAAAAGCTTAAAAAGTAAAAGTATATTATAAAAATAATTTTAAAAACTAATTAAAATTATTGATAACTCATATTACTAAAGCATAAATATTTATTCACAATATCATTATAAGTGCTAAAGAAAATGGTAATAAAAGTGATATAAAAAATAAATTTTAAATATGAAATATACTTCTCTTTTGATAAGTTTAACACGATGAGTTAAAAATTTTAAATTTTTAAAAGGTTTTTTACACCTAAAAATTTTAAACAGTAATTAGAATTACAAACGTATAAGGCTAACAAAAATATATATCTTACATATGCGTAAAAGTAAAAGTTTTAAAATCAATGGGGAAAAACTTGTTTCTAAGTTTATTATATATTTACTAACAGCTTAAAAAATATAAAAAAAATATAGGTTAGTGAAGTCAGTATAACTCTTATTATCTATAAAAAATACTTAGAGTAATAAGAGTTGATAAAAAAAAGGATATTTATAAATTTAATTAGATCTTATACCTTAAAATTAGTAAATAATATTAAATTTTGAAATATATAAAAAAACAAAAACAAATAAAGGCAAGAGTGCTATATAAACTTTAACAACATGAATTATATATAGTTTGCTGATAATAAAAAGCTTTAAATACTGAATAACTTTGATATATTTACGATAAAGTTCACTATATTATACTGAAGATTCAGTATCATAACAATAATACTCTTATAAAAAATATAAGCAGCAATTAAAAATAGTTTTTAGAAAATTAAACAGACAAATATTATACTACGCGTACAATTTGTGCAATAGCTACTACTATAGTTCTATATTCTACACAATTTTATAATAATCTTACGTAATATAATTCCATTTATATATATTTTTTATAATAAAAAAATTTAGTTTACTTCTGCTTTAAGAATATATTATTATATAAAAAATAAATAAGAAATGGTCTACCTAAATTATTTTTTACAATAAAAAGTTTACAAAAAGATTTAATCATACAAAATTATCATTATATTTTAAAAAGAAGTATTGAGAAACTAATGTTCGGAATACTGTGGAGATTACCACAACTCAAATTCATTTTTCGTTATATGGGTACACTGGTTAGTCATTCACTTTATAAAAGAAGTGCATTGAAATCCCGTTAATAACTGTGATAATAGATTTGGACATTTTAATGCAAATGCATGTTTCTATATATGGACATTTTCCTGTTTCTATTTATGATGTAAAAGAATCTTATTGAATGCATATACAAAACAACTACTTACTTCTCAAAGAAAACTCTTTACTCCACTTCTTCGTTATTTCTTTCTTCATTTGCTTTTTTATCTTATTTCTTTTCGTGTGCGTATTTTATATTTATATATACTCTATATTTTAACAATAACTTTTACTTAAAATATTTAAATTTTATTAACTTTTACCTATAGTTTCACTTAAAATTTTAGTCTAAATTTTTTAATTTCCAAATATATATTAAAAAATTTTCTAAAATTATAATTAAAGTTTTTTGTTCCTATTATAACATATAAACTAAAAGTAAAAGGTATGCCAAAAATTATATTGTTAAAGTTAACTTCTTTTTCGTATATATGTTTAGTTAATTCTATTTTGAAAATTTAACTATTTTATAAGTTAATTTTTATTATTATTAACTGAATAGTTAGAAAATAAGTTTTTTACCATAATTGTATTACTAAATATATTAGATGTTTTTTTAATAAAATAAGTTTAGATGATAATAAATAAAAATTAAAATTTTTTTTGAAAGTTCATATGTATAACTTTGAAATTTTCTATTTGAAAAAATTTTTTCAAGTAAACTTAGTTTATTGTACTTTATTATTACTAAAATCTTGAATAATTTAGAAAATAAACAATTTAACCATAAACTGTATTATACTTTAGTTCTATGAGTAATAATTAAAAGTTAAGAAAATTTCATTTTTTTAAAAAGGGTAATCATTTGATTAATTTGAACAATTAAAATTTTATTAAAAAGGACAACTTTATTTAAGCAAACATCCTTGCAATAAGTTTTTTAAATTTATGTTAGATTAGGAAGAAAATAACTACCACAGAGCAATAATTGCTACTATATTACTTTCATAGTGATCACTGATATTGTGCCATGAGTCGGACGCAATACTAATATATGTCTTTTCCCTTGAAGCTCAAATGACTTTTATTTAGAAAGAAGACGAGTGGAGGTGCCTTTTTTTTGGATAGTTCGTGCGCAGCGACTTTATTCTCGCAAAACCTGCTTTTTGTTCAAACGCCTAATAGCTATATATATAACTTTTCTTTATCTTCTTTTTTATATATTTTTTATATTATTTTTATATAGTGTTTTAATCATGTATAATTAAATTTATTGAAAACTTACACTTTTTAAAGTAATAACGGCCCTAACGAGTTCTTCTTCTTCTAAAGACAATTAGTAAGAGCTTATTACTAATTAAAAATCACAAAACAAGACTAAGCGAAGTTAACACTCCTGAAGCCATTATTTCCGGAAGGATTAAAGAGCCAATTGGAATTTAAATAAAAAGTAGTAACCCATATATTGCTTTACAACTCCTCGTTAAACCTTGTACTTGAGGAGGAATCATACACGAAATTAGTGAGATGTTAATAATTACAGAAATTAAGAATGGTATTGATTATAACAAAAATATCTCGAGATATTATAGCGATAAAAGTATAATTTGTAATAGTAACGATGGTAATAATAATTATTTTCATAGTACCATCAATAAACGAATCGACGATATAATAAGAAAATTTCAGAAAACGAAGCAACGCCAATAAAAATAAAAACAAGAACTCAAGTTTTAATAATATTAATGACAACAACCATAAACTTAGAATTGAATTATTTATAACACGCATCACACTGGTATTAGACAAAGCAATTATAATAGTAACAATAATTATCATTTTAACGTTAACTAATTTTGCGCTAATAATAAAAACGATAATTCAAAAAAATACAAATCACTCTGAAAAACAAGCAGAATGGGACCTTTTTACTAATATGATGAAAATTAACAGTAACACTATTACAAGTGTTAAAAATAGTGCTCACAGAATCACTTCAATCGAGAATGATTACTGAACACTCAGCTCTTTATTAGGTTTAGGCGCATGAATATTA